TGGATGGCGGTGGGTGTAATCGGGCGCGAGTATCTTTGCCCTGGCTTCCTCAGAGAGACCATCTTCTACGGATCCTGGGCTCGGTCGACGAGTTGCCATAGCGAGAGACGTGGCTACATGTCAGAGACTCCGTGAGATGGGTGGTTCGTGGTATGATGATTTTGAGAAGGAGTTGCAAGATATGGAGGCTAAGGGATACATACGGCCGTTAACTCCAGCTGAAGTACGGGAGGATTTTCCTGTGGCAAGCACCGTCTTAGCACTACGTCCAGGTCATAAGACCCAACCTGTTCGTATTACTATCGATGCTCGTGGTATTAATGCTCGGCTCGACTCTGGCGATGTTAGTATGCTACGTAAGGCTCTCAAAGCTATCCTACTGCGGAGTAGAATGGCCCCCTTCGTAGCTTTCGAAGACGTGGTTAGAGCATTTCCTCAACTACTATTACACATTCCTGATACTGTTAGTCTCAATTTTAGAAGTAATAATCGGTATTGGCGATGTTTGAGACTTCCTTTTGGCTTGACATGCTCCCCGGCGTGTCTATGTATTGCCTTGCAGGATATTCGATCCATCTTGATCAAGGATTATGGATCTCCGGTCGAGGCTTATTATCCGTATATGGATGACCTACTCTATACTGCTTGGCTCAAGTCAGTTCTCATCAGTCGACGTGATCGTGGTAGTCAGTTGTTGCTCTCCCAGGCTAATATGCACTGTCAGCCAGCCAAAAGCATCGAGCTATCTGATCCGACTTTCATGGAACGACCTAATAATCCAAATGATGAAAGGGTTACCGGTCAATCATCTAGTTTGGTACAACTCGGGTATGTATGGTGTATTGATGAGGATTCCATCACTATACAAATACCTAAGGTTGGTCAATCTCCGCTGACTACACGCCGTCTGTCGTTTAAGCAACTGTCCAAGTTGTATGATCCATTAGGTCTATATATAGAAGTGGTATCGAGACAACGACTACTACTCAGTCTTATCTCTGGTAGTACGCACTCGTGGGATTCTATGGATGTTTCGACCGAACTAGCTCAGGCAGTTCAGAGTTTTCTTCCCTCATCTCTTCCACACCAACCCCGATTCTGCGACTTGCGAGAAGGGCTGGTTATCTTTCGCGACGCTGCAGGTAGTGGATGTATATGTTGTGATGCCCGCAGTGTTGCTGATGGGCGTAGGTTGTTAGCCTATCAAGCTACACTCAATGCCAAATGGTCAGTAGCACGGTTAGAGTTATGTGCATTGGTTGCTGGGGTCAAGTTGTTGGAAGAGATTCTGGAACAGCGAGATGTAGTATTGGATGGTCACAATACTATCTCTGGTATTTGGATTTGTACAGACTCTCAGCTAAATGCGTGGCGTGTGAAGCGAGATCCGCGTTTAGATGAGAAATACTTACCACCTTTTGAACGACGTCGTGTGGGCCTTCTTCGAAGTAGTCTGTCTTCGTTAGCTTCTGAAACACTATTGCCGATTCGTCTTGCCCATGTTTCGGGGCGGGAGAATCCTGCGGATAGAGGTACCCGGCCTTCTATTACGACTATGAGTGAGTTCATGAAGTTAACTGCTACTGATATGAAGTCTATTCTTCAGAAGCTCACAGTTATCACGGTGTTTTCAGAGACTATTCAGGATGATCAAAATCCTGATGAGTTCTCTATTGAAGATACTATTTCCGAAGAAGAACCATGTATACACCTCGTTGGAGCTGTTTTCACTACTCATAAAGAAAATGAGGATATAGTGTTGGATCAGCAATTGCTCAATACTGTACGTATTGCTCTGAAGTTCTCTCCCGAGGTTAATGATCTGCGACGTAAAGCTGCTACTTCCTCGGATGTGTTGGTTGGCTACGTGGTTCGTGATGATCTGCTCTACCGTGTTGGTAGCGTAGCTCTCAGCGATTCTGATAGAGGTAGCTGTGTTACTTCTCAGATTGTTGTCCCTGAGAATCGAGTGGATGTGCAGTTCGAGGTTGTGAAATATTTCCATGACCTACATGGTGGCCATCCAGGAAGAGCTGCGCTTACACGTTGGATATGGCGTCACTTCTACTGGAAGAGATTAGATCAACGAGTCCGATCCTTCAATAGAGACTGTCTGGGATGCCAAGCTCGGCAACAAGCAGCTAATAGGAAACGTGTAATGTCGTCTAGACCGCCAGCTTGCCCAGTGCGTTTTGGTCCGTTTGCTATTGCTTACTTTGACAGCAGTGGACCTTATCAGTTCGTTTATGAGGAGAACGGTCAGAAAAGGACTGGCAAGTTCTACTTATTTTCGTTGGTTTGCCAATCTACTCGTTATATTCGTGTCCTTCCTACTGTGGATAAATCTGCAGCCGCTGCCTCACAAGCCCTATATCAACTACTGGCTGAGGAAGGACGTGTGAGTCTACTGGTGACTGATCAGGCGTTATGCCTTCCAGTCGTGGCTGCCGTGGTGAAGGACTTTGGTGGTTTGTTGGTTCCTGCACCTGCTAGGGGTGAAGAACTTCGAGGTTGGGGTGAGAGACCACATAAAGATCTTCATTCTATTGTTCGAGGATCATTGTTTGACCTCAAGAAGTTGCCTACTAGGAATGAGTTGCTTCGTTTATTCTATAAGGCAGCCATGGTGGTGAATATGACCCCTTACACTGATTCAAGCCCTTTATGCCCTTTTTTATTGTGTCGTGGTCATGATCGCTTGATTGGCGATCCTGGTGCTATTGAAGAAGCTGAGGGTATTCGCAAAGCAGTATATGAGGGATTGGAACCGCCATCGTGGTGGGCAGAAGTTAATACAGAAGATTATTTATCCATCCTGGAGCAAGGCCGTGCAACGAGATTGGCTGAATTGGCTGATATCTGGTGGCTTAAGCGCCGTGCCGTTCGCGAGAAGTTACTTGGTCGATTCCTTCGTCATGCAGCAAGGGGATTATGCGAGAATTCACAAGCCTTTAGGTGGCGACCACAGCTAGGGATCTTTGGCAAGCTCAACACTGGCTGGCAGCCCGTGACGTTACTTAAGAAGAAGAGTGATAGTGTATGGCTAGTACGTCTCGAGGATGGGAAAGAAGTCGACGAGTCAGTGCTTAACTTGCGCATTCCATCTGCTGAGTGACCTTTGGGCGGGAGTGTGCCGGTTTGGCTAAGTGTTGTGTCAGCAGGTTGCTCTGTGTAATTGTGGTGAGATTCTTAGCTTGTCTCCTTTGTAGCTAGTCCCAATCAGCTGTAATACATAAGTTCATAGATTTTATTCCAGTTGCTATCTATTGATTACCACTTACTGGTAATTGAGTTCTTGTGTTAAGCAATCCAAGGTCTGATACTCAAT